CAGTTTGAGCATTCTTTGGCATTGCCTTTCTCTGGGATTGGAATGAAAACTGACCTTTTCCAGTCCTGTGGCCACTGCTGAGGTTTCCAGGTTTGCCGGCATAAAGGAAGCATTTCCGGAGCCCTGGTGTGTGCCAGGCCGTGTCCTCGGGATGCTCACTCCAGGGCCGCAGCCATTACTGTTTACTAGCCGTGTGACTGCGTGTGCAGAAAGGCACGGTGTGCGGGGGGTGCTTATTGAGGTGGGGACCTATTGTCTAGTTCTCCAACATCCGTGCCTGGTGTGGGAGTACGGGTATTCTTCAGAAAGCAACTGGAGGTGCAGAGAGGTTGAGAGCCACGCTCGAGGTCACACAGCTACCGCAGCCCGAGTTTGGGCTCAAGTCCGGGGTCCAGCAGAGCTGTTACATAGGCCCCCTCCGTGCCGGCATCAGTCTCCCCGACTGTGAAGTAAGGGGCCTCTTTCTTTTTCTGGCTGCGCCGGGTCTCAGTGGGAGCACATGGGGTATCTTCACTGCCATGTGGAGGTCCTTCCGTTGCGGTGGCATGGGGGATCTCGTTCCCTGAGCAGGGACCAAACGCAGGCCCCTTGCGCTGGGAGCGCGCAGTCTTACCCCCTGGACCACCAGGGAAGTCCCTAAGAGGGTTTCATGACCTCTGAGCTCCGTGGGCCACGAGGAAGGGTGGCCACCTTGTCCTGAGCCGGTGTCCCTCGTGTCTCCTCTGGACTGCCCCCAGTCCCTCCCCGCCAGGCTTCAGAGTGTGGCCGCCTGGTATCTGAGTTCCTTCCACGGCCAACACTGCAGCTGCGGGGGCCAGGCAACACATCTCGGTCTGCAGACACCTCTTGGCTCCGCTGACAGCTGCATGTTTCCTGGGAGCGCCCCTGGCTCCTGGAGAGGCACGAGCGGAATCCCGGGCTTGCTGTCCTGGCGCGCGAGGAGCTGATGATCTGCTAAGTGCTGGGGACACCTGTTTTCTGATGAAAACTTGGCCTGTGGGCCCACCCTGTTTGGCTCCTCCAGCTGTGGAGCAGACAGCCCCAGATCCCACCACTTGGTGGTCGGGGGCGGTGGAGGCTGGGCCCTGGGAGGGGCTCCCATGGTGACAGATGTTCTGGACACCTCTTGCTCCTGGCCAGCAGCTGCCCAAATCGCCTGCTCTTTCTGCCCCCTCCACTCCTGATCAGCTGAGGGAGAGGAGGGAGCGAGGTGCAGTGAGGCCCAGCCACAGACTTGGGTGAAGTCTGGACAGGTCTGTGCACCCCACCCTCAGGCCTGTGACCTCTCCTCCGACCCCAGCACCCCACCAGGCCTCCCGGCCTCTCCAGGTCTCCAGACTCTGAGGATCTCCCTCCCCATTCTGCACACGCCACAAGGCCAGTCTTCCTGAAGACGATCTCATCGCATGTCACTTCCTGGTCCCAAAGCTGCAGTGACCGGCTTCTGTCCACAATACAGAAGCCAAGTTCGAGGTCTAGTGGGGGAAGCACTTTCTGCCTCAGATCCTCCTCAAATGCCATCTCCTCCTGGAATCCTGCTGATGCCTCCAGCACACCTGAGCCCCATCTCACCCGACTCGGGACCAAGTTACATGGCTGCCTATTCAGAGAAGGCTGTTGGAGGCTGGGGACCTGGTCAAAGCCATCCTTCATGCCCACCCATCCCCTGCACAGGTGTGCAGACCTGGTTGCTACTCAGGAAATGTCAGCAGCTCCTTTTACTTTGAAATTTCAACGGCAGAAAATCTAGCTTTGTGGTTTTGGCTCATGAAAAGTAATTTGCTGTGTATCAGAAGGTTCATGGGAACTTGATTCCTAATGTTAAAAAGTAAAATCGTGACTCATATACAAATATAAAATAAACACATATCACAGAGTCTACTGAACTCATTCATTAAGTGAGGGAACCAGCAAGATGTTATCATCAGGTGAAAGGAGAACTCCAAGGTCAGACACATTTACAGAATAGAAATGTTGAAATGAACTTGGAGGCAAAACTGGTTTTTCCACTGTGGGGGAGGGTTGTCCCAGGACATGAATTATGTGTATTGCTATCAATCTTCTACTATATTGCAAAAGAACTCAAAGACAATATAAGGCCCAGGAAGTGAAAAAGTGAGAAAATGTTAGTGGCTCAGTCCTGCCTGACTCTTTGCAACGCCAAGGACTGTAGCCCTCCAGGCTCCTCTGTTCATGGAATTCTCCAGGCAAGAATATTGGATTTGGTAGCCATTCCCTTCTCCAGGGTTATCTTCCAGATTCAGGGATCAAACCCAGATCTCCTGCACTGCAGGCAGATTCTTTCCCACCTGAGCCACCAGGGAAGCGCATAAGGCCCAGAGCCCCCCAGAATTCAGAATCTGATAACCTAGAAGGGTATGTACCAAGGGTGCATATAGCTTCCCATTGGCGACACCAGGAATTGTTTTTTGCTTAACCCAGTTTTCATTCCACAAATAGCTCACAACTGGAGACAACCCAAATGTCCATCAATAGAATAGATAAACCACCACATGGTAAATTCATACAGTGTAGTGATATTCATTTTGCATGCCATAGATGCATGCAAGATGGATGCAGCTTGCAGACTTAACGTTGAATGAAAGAGGGTGACACAGAAGGGTACTTGCTATAGGCTGAATACTGCCCCCCGAGGACATCCAGTGCTTCCCTGGGATCTGTAAATGTTAGCCTATTTGGAAAGGTCTTTGAAGATGTGATAGATTAAGGATCATGAGATAGGGGGTTTATCCCGAACTATCTGGCTGGGCCCTAAACACCATCATGAGTGTCCTTATGTAAGAATCAGAGGGAGGCTTCACACAAATACAGCAAAGACCATCGACCGAGGCAGAGGTTGGAAAGAAGCGGTGACAAGCAAAGGCGCATCAGGAAACGCAGGCGGCTGGCAGAGGCAGAAGAGACGGGGCTCCCCAAGGAGACTCGGAGTTGCCGACGCCTAGGGGTTGGACTTGCCGCTTCCAGAACCGTGAGATGATGTGTTCCTGTAGCTGTAAGCCATCCAGGTTGTGGTAACTTGTTACCACGGCCCTTGGAAATCAATACAATAGAATTCCACTTGTTTCAAGTTCAAAATCAGCCCATATTCATCCTGAGTTAGAGGTCAGAATGTGGTGACCCTTGGGGAAGTTGCAGTGTTGGCAAGGGAGAAGGGAGACATGGCAAACAGCTCAAGTTCTTTTTCCTGACCTTCAGGATTTTTGTATTTCACTGAGTCATATACTTATTTTGTGTACTTTTATATTACAGTGTCTAATATATTAAATTAGTCTTTAATATTAGAGTGTCTCGTCCTCTGTGCAGTTCTTACAGGGCTGGCGTTAGGATCTAAATGATGTTGAGACCTGTTTGAATTGTAAAGGCCAAAACGGATGCAATGTGAATGCCCTTCACAGTCATCAGGCATTTGCTGGCTGCTGGGCATCATGCCAAGCTCCCTTCAGGCATTATCCCACTTAATCCCCAAAACCCATAACAGCTCCCACTTTGTAGACTAAGAAACTGAAATGTGAAGACAAACGGTTAGAAAGTGAGGAAGCCAGGATTTAAACCCAGGCTGTCTGGGGATGAGGACCGTGACTCAAGTCCTACACGCATGTTGAATTATCTCTAGGCTATTAAACCATCATGGCTATTCTGATTTTTTTTTTTTAACAAAGATACAGATCATCATGTATAGCAGGCCATCAGAGAAGCCCATAGTAGGCTACCATTTGTGGTATATATAAAAAGAGAATCGAAAGAACCAATCAGGCTATTTTGGATCTTTGCTTATATTCATAAAATTCTTTTAGGAGGATATCAAGAAATTCAATGTATTTAGTTGCAGTTGGGAAGAGGAACTACAGCAAGGAAGCCGGGGTAGAGAAGGCGCTTCCTGAACTTTCAAACATGTGAATGTATTTATTCAGAAGCAAAAAGGAACAAAGATTTATATGAATAAAAACCACCAGAGAATTATGTGAACAACTTTACGCCAATGGTTTTGAAAACATGAACACTTTTCTACAAAAATATAACTCCGTAAAAATGATATGGGAAGACAAAGAAATTGTCTAGACTTAGAACGGTTAATGTTGTGCTTACTTTAACACCTGCATCCCCATCTCTTCCAAGACCTCCGGGGAGTACCGGGAAGGCAGGGCTTCTGGGTTTTCACACCACTGTCCAGCTCAAGCCCAGCACTGTCCCTGGCACGCTGCAGATACGTGCCGCATGAAGGCTGGACCTCTGGGCTAAGCCAAGCCTTGGGATGGGATAAGGGGAGCGCTAATGGATCACCCGGCCACGCTCTGAACAGCCGCCAGGAGGATCCACCACCCCGAGGGCCCGCGGGAAGCCTGACGCATGCGCAGTGCCTGCCCGAGGCCAGTCGGGTGGTACAGCGCCTGCGCGATTCCGCCGGGGGGGGAGGGGGACGCGAACAGGGCAGCGCGCCCGGCGCCTGCGCAGCGACGCGTGTGGGCGGGGACCCCCCATCCCCCGGCTGGCTCCCTGGCTTCGGGCCTCCTGCGGGCTCCGCTTCCGCCGGCCGCGCGCCCCCCTCCCTCCACACACACCTGCGCCCCTTTCTCTGCTGGCGGCGTCAGCCCGGGGCGGACGGAGAGTCCTTAATTCTCCATACCCGGTTCATTGCTTCGGGTTGAAGGTGAACACTTGTGTTGTTGCCGAGGAAATCTTTGCATTTCCCGCAATCCGGTCATTGTATGGCTTCAGTGGTTAACGCTTGAGACATCAGAGTTGGTCTCTGGGCAGCTCCCCTTGAGATAGATGACTTGGGAAAAAGAATTGCTTAACAAAACCAAGGAAGAATCCCTGTGATCAGTCAAACGCCAGTGAATCTGGGTTTGCCGATGCCCTTGGTAATTCGCCTGCAAGCACGCGAGGACCCGAGGAAAATGACCATAAATTCGTCAGGAAATGTCTGTTTTTTGTTTTTTTTTTTTAAACATCTCCAGACATTGATAATGTTTCGTAAATTTGCAAGAGATGCAAGAAACTACAGATAATGTTTGCTGTCACCTCGGGAGCTGCATCCTGAGATGAAATCAGAGCCTAGGGGCTTGGCAGATACCAGCAGACATCAGTACCTTATGGATAGCTTATTAAATAAAGACATCGATGAAGAGTGTACGGTGTGAGAAGTAGGGTATTGACCTGGGTAAGATTTTTTTTTTCCTATAAAGAGATAGCTAGTCCACTAATTTTTTTTCGTCTGCGAAGATGTCTCCTTTCCTCCTTTAAAGACTGTAGTCCAAGCAGTCTTTAAAGACTCAACTGGAGACAGCTGGAGGACGCTCTTTAATTGCCTGTGCACATTCTTGGTATGTACGGATTTTCTTAACCTTCATTTTTGGTAAGACTGAATATTGTGCTGTGGTAGAGCTTTATCACTGCGCACTGTGGCGGCAGTCCAGACACCTGAGTGTCCAGTTCTGCATCATAGTGAGTGGGAAGTGATTACAGCGGTTGTGGTTAAGGTGAGGCCTGTATCAGAATTTCTATTTTAAACTTGACGTTTGGGGTTTAGGGGTGTGTATCTGCTGTTGTGTCCTCTTGAGATGGGATTTCTCTGAGGCAGAGGTTCTCTTTATAGCTGACTCGACCCAGTACCTCCTCAGATGCATGTTTGCGTGCTCAGTCGTGTCTGACTCTTCACTACTGGTGGACTGTAGCCCGCCAGGCTCCTCTGTCCGTGGAATTTTCCAGGCAAGAATACTGGTGTGGGTTGCCATTTCCTACTCCAGGGGATCTTCGTGACCCAGGGATAGAACCCCTGTCTCCTACATAGGCAAGAGGATTCTTTACTACTAGCGCCACCTGGGAAGCCCGTATTTCAGATGACTCAGATGATAATACTGCTTTGGTTCAAAATAATTATCAAGGTTGGGTTTCATGATACATTAAGACTTGGTGTATAACCATACACATATTTAAGTCACGTGACTCACTTATGCACAGTTACGATGCAGTAGAGGAAAAGTGAGAAGGTGCCAGGAGGCGAGACAAGTTCTCTTCGTGGCTTTGGGCTAGTCGGCTTTCCTTTCTGGGCTTCATTTCCTCATGTGTGAAGGTGGGGTTTGGAAGTGGAGATGGAAGGGAGTCTGCTTGAGGTGTCAGTTTTAATGTTCAGTGGCTCCTTGCCTACTTAATCCTCTTCAGCCAGAGGTAGAACTGGGCCTTCTCACCAGTTCTGTGACATTGTGGTCCTTCCTTAAAGATTGGAGAGGTGGTGTCATAAAGTTGGTGTGAACAAACCTCAGAAACTCTTGGTCAGGCTGTGAAATGAAGTGTTGAGTGGGCTTCAGTGTATTAAAAAACAAGGACAGTATAGAGAGTTTTTTGTAAAACTAAATTTATTCAACTAAAAGGCTGTTCTTTCTAAAAATGTCATTTTCTTGATGTTAAAGCATCTTTTGTGATATGATGGTGATAGTAAATGGTGGTACATGGGATTGTAAATGGCATCTACAAGGTTCGTTCCCTTATCACAATAAGATATTTTTAGAAAAAAAGAGAACCTAGAATCTATTGTTTTGCTATTGCAGTAAGAGAGTTTAGGAAAAAGTTCCTGGGGTTTTTTCTGCTAAGAAGATTACAACATAGATTACTTTTTAAGAGTAGATATGAGTTTACTTTGTGGTAATTCATTTGTCACAAGCCACAGGCAACTAAGGAGGCTCTGTCATGTATTAAAGATACTTCTCTTCTGATCACCCTTTCTACCAGATATAAAATGTCAGGGGTGTGTGTGTGTGTGTGTGTGTGTGTGTGTAAAAGCCCAGGTGTGTGTGTGTGTCTGTAAAAGCCCAGGGTGTGTGTGTGTGTGTGTGTGTGTAAAAGCCCAGGTGTGTGTGTGTGTCTGTAAAAGCCCAGGGTGTGTGTGTGTGTGTGTGTGTGTAAAAGCCCAGGGGTGTATGTGTGTCTGTAAAAGCCCAGGGTGTGTGTGTGTGTGTGTGTGTGTGTCTGTAAAAGCCCACGCAGGGGAATTCCTCCTGATGGTTGGAATTGTTAATATTGAATAGACTGGCTGCTGAGGTAAAGAACCCCTGTGGGGATTCGCTGTCAGCTGGGAAATCTTTCAGTATCGTGGCCCCAGTCTTTTGCTTTGAAACACCATGACCATCAAGAAATTAGGCTATGCTGATGGGAGAAGTGGCTGGCTCCATCTGTTTTAAAGTGGATGTGTAACAGATGACCTTCGTGTCCATGAAGTCTTAAAAATTTTTAAAGATTTAAAAACTCTTAACAGATTTACAGTTACTGTAAATTTTGTTTTGTACTTAACAAAACTGCAATGTATAATGTGTATCAGACATGGATTTTTAAAGTGTCTCAAAATATTATAATCCGTAATTCTTGAAATACTCATTTTTGCTTTGGAGGAGAGACTGCTCTCACTCACCTCTGAGTGCTCCAGTTTCAGAGGAGAACGCAGTAACTCTGTACAGGACATTTGTCCACAAGAAAAAGAGGGCAGAGGTGTTTTTCCTGACCTTTCCTCACATCCTCATTGTCATCCTGTCTTTATTTCTTTGGTTAAATCCTGAGGTTTGCTCCTGCCTGTCTTTCTAAAATGTTAATCTGCTCAAAGTTACTGACCCTCCTCTGGCACAGTTTAAAGCCCTGCAGTGCCCACCCCCGCCCCCCACTACCCCCGCCGGTATTCACAGCCAGACCTGCGCCTGTAGCCCTGCCCTGCCTCTCTTCAGGCGTCTCCTCCAGAGCCTTGCTGAGCTCTTGGTCCCTGAGGCTGTCCCCATCTCCTGCCTCGGAATGCTCTTCTTTCACCTCGTCCTTCAAAACTCCGCTCAGAGGCCTCTGCCTGCACGGCCTCCCTCGCCCTGTCTTCTGCAGGGTGTCCAGCCCCCTTGCCTTAGGGTTTGGTTCCCGGTGTCTGACAGAGAGCAGGCCGCAGAGACCCTCAGGCCCGCCTCTGAGGACAGGGCTCACTTAGCCCCTGCCCCTGAGAGGTCCACTGCCCTTGCCAGCCCTGCGACACCTTCCAGCCACGCACACCAACTTGCAGAGTCCATTTAATTGTGTCCTAGTGTCTAATTCAAATCTAACTTCTTGACAGAGGAGACTCTGTAATGTCTGTTTTATCAACCAGAAACGAGGTGGGCATCATCTTTACTTGCATATTGTCTCCTTTCCCCTCCTTCTGCCTTGGGTTTTTTAAAAATCTGATGAACGGTAAAATTTTAAGAAATGAAGATATCAAATATCAAGTTTGTCTTTTGTGCATATAGCCAGGGAAAACAGGAATGTTAAAGGGAAAAAAAAAAAAGGGAAAAATACTTCATCTCTTAAAAAAACTCCAAAAAACCCATATTACACTCATTTTCAAAAGAACTTGAGTTTATTAAAAAAAAACAAAAACAGAGATTGTGATTAAGTTTAAAGAAAACAGGCAAAGAAACTGGCAACAGGGTTAAAATTTGTCAAGAAATACTTGTTTAAAATGAAAGTTGTCCCTTTCTTCCTCTCTCATGTTCCTTCCTCTCATGTTCTTGGATAAAGTCCCAACTCAGCCATTTTCCCGGGACACCTTGTCCCCTAGGAAGTCCTGAGGCAGTTTGTTAAAGCTGCTCTTTTCCACAGCAGTCACAGCTGGACTCCTTTCTCCCATGAAGGACCCCTTTCCTCCTGCGCAGGAGACGCCAGTGTCCCGAGTCCCACTCCTTTCTTTCCCTGGAGGCGTCTCCCGGTCATGGTTGTCCTCACCAGGTCCAAGAGTTCTTGAGCAGGAGATACTGAGTTTTCTCCTTGCATACCTTTTTTTAAAAAACAAAAAACAAACAAAAAAACCTTGATGGGTTTGTCTCAGTCTTTCCCATGGCCTCACAGCTTGCCAGATCTTAGTTCCCTGACCACAGACTGAACCTGGACCCCCAGCACTAAAAGCACCAAGTCCTAACCGCTGGACGCCAGGGAGTCCCATGGTTCAGGTCAGTCTTAAAACTTCTGTCCCGGCTTCTTGTTCCTCCCTCTCTCGGGGGAGAGAGGTCGGTTTTCTGCAGACCCCATCACGTCATTCTGCTTCCTCAGGTGCGCTTTGTCTCGTGTGACACATTGTCTGCTGGGTTTTTCAGCCCTGCCTCCTTCAGTTTTATTTTTATTTTTTGGCTGCACTGCGAGGTTTGCAGGCTTAGTCCCCAGCCGAGGGTGGAACCTGCACCCCCTGCACTGGCAGCTCGGAGTCTTCACCACTGGATCACCAGGGCGGTCCCTGGTTTATGCCGCTTTTGGCTGTTACGGATAATGCTGCTGTGCACCTCCATGTCCAGAGTTCTGTGTGGACAGATGTGTTCTGTGGTCTTAGATGTGCGCCTAGGAGTGGAGTCTCTGGGTCCTGTCGTAGCTGCGTTAAGCCTGTTCTCCACAGCTGCTCCATGCACAGCCCCGCCAGTCCCATGCCACGCTCTCCGTTCCCCACTTCCTAGTCAGTGTGTGGGTGTTCAGGGGATGCTTTGAAAAACATGGGACGTTTTTGGTCCTTCTTTTTGTTTTTCTCACCCACTCGATACTTCCGGAAAATTCTATCAAATCAGCTCGTACCATTCTGACTCATTATGATAATATTCCATAGTACAAATATACTGTGTATTGATTCAGTTCAGCAGAAAGTAAGAGGCTGCTATGTATCAGGCACCGATTTCGGCTCGGAGGCAATAAAACAAGATGCCCTGTGTTCTTAGAGTTTACTTTCTAGTAGGGGTGGGGGTGGGACATCAAGAAATGAACAGGTAGCATAGCCTAGGGTTTTACCAGGGCAGTCTGAGTCTGTGACAGCTTTCTGAGGAGCGCATATGGCTAGACGGCCCTAAATGTTATTGCAGGTTACTTTAAGGAGAAGGTAGAAACATTTTCGTAAAATAAAAAATAGGAAAAAATAAATAAAAGACCCAACTGGCTAATGTGGCTGTACAGACCTGAGAGGTCAACAGACGAGCCGGTCGCTGTTGGAGTCGTTGGTGACCGAGTTAGCACATTTGTGAATTGCATCCAAGTCCTGGAGCTCCAGTACTCTGGCCACCTGATGTGAAGGGCTGACTCATTGGAAAAGACCCTGATGCTGGGAAAGATTGGAGGCAGGAGGAGAAGGGGGCGACAGAGGATGGGATGGTTGGATGGCACTACCGACTCTACGGACATGAGTTAGAGCAAACTCTGAGAGTTGGGGATGGACAGGGAATCCTGGCGTGCTGCAGTCCATGGGGTCGAAAGAGCCGGACACGACTGAGCGACTGAGCTGAGCCTCCGGTGCCGAGTAATAGACACCCCTCCCCAGGAGCCAGGTGAAGGGTGTGGGGCACTTTCT